TGTTATATTGTTATATTTGCAGAGAAGGGGAATGAATTAATCAATATGTCTTCTAGTGATAATGGTTAATTTGCAGAGAAGTGGCATGAATTAATCAAAAATGTCTTCTAGTGATATTGTTATATCTGTAGAGAAGGGGAATGAATTAATCAATATGTCTTCTAGTGATGTTGTTGTATCTGTAGAGAAATGGTATGAGTTAATGAAGTAATCAAAACGTCTTCTAGTGATATTGTTATATTTTAGAGAAATGGTATGGGGTAATGAAGTAATCAAGATGTGTTCTAGTGATATTGTTATATTTGCAGAGAAGTGGCATGAATTAATCAAAATGTCTTCTAGTGATATTGTTATATCTGTAGAGAAGGGGAATGAATTAATCAATATGTCTTCTAGTGATATTGTTATATCTGTAGAGAAGGGGAATGAATTAATCAAAATGTCTTCTAGTGATAATGTTATATCTGTAGAGAAATGGTATGAGTTAATGAAGTTATCAAAACGTCTTCTAGTGATATTGTTATATCTGTAGAGAAGGGGAATGAATTAATCAAAATGTTTTCTAGTGATATTGTTATATTTGCAGAGAAGTGGCATGAATTAATCAAAATGTCATCTAGTGATATTGTTATATCTGTAGAGAAGGGGAATGAATTAATCAAAATGTCTTCTAGTGATAATGTTATATCTGTAGAGAAGGGGAATGAATTAATCAAAATGTCTTCTAGTGATAATGTTATATCTGTAGAGAAGGGGAATGAAGTAATCAAAACGTCTTCTAGTGATATTGTTATATCTTTAGAGAAGGGGAATGAATTAATCAAAATGAATTCTAGTGATCTTGTTATATCTGTAGAGATATGGTATGTGTTAATGATGTAATCAAAACGTCTTCTATTGTTGTATCTGTAGAGAAATGGTATGAGTTAATGATGTAATCAAGACGTGTTCTAGTGATATTGTTATATTTGCAGAGAAGGGGAATGAATTAATCAATATGTCTTCTAGTGATAATGTTATATTTGCAGAGAAGTGGCATGAATTAATCAAAATGTCTTCTAGTGATATTGTTATATCTGTAGAGAAGGGGAATGAATTAATCAATATGTCTTCTAGTGATATTGTTATATCTGTAGAGAAATGGTATGAGTTAATGAAGTAATCAAAATGTCTTCTAGTGATAATGTTATATCTGTAGAGAAATGGTATGAGTTAATGAAGTAATCAAAACGTCTTGTAATGATATTGTTATATTGGTAGAGAAATGGTATGAGTTAATGAAGTAATCAAAACGTATTCTAGCGATATTGTTATATCTGTAGAGAAGGGGAATGAATTAATCAAAATGTCTTCTAGTGATATTGTTATATCTGTAGAGAAGGGGAATGAATTAATCAAAATGTCTTCTAGTGATCTTGTTAAATCTGTAGAGAAGGGGAATGAATTAATCAATATGTCTTCTAGTGATATTTTTATATCTGTAGAGAAGGGGAATGAATTAATCAAAACGTCTTCTAGTGATATTGTTGTATCTGTAGAGAAATGGTATGAGTTAATGAAGTAATCAAAACGTCTTCTAGTGATAATGTTATATCTGTAGAGAAATGGTATGAGTTAATGAAGTAATCAAAACGTCTTCTAGTGATATTGTTATATCTGTAGAGAAGGGGAATGAATTAATCAATATGTCTTCTAGTGATATTGTTATATCTGTAGAGAAGGGGAATGAATTAATCAAAATGTCTTCTAGTGATAATGTTATATCTGTAGAGAAATGGTATGAGTTAATGAAGTTATCAAAATGTCTTCTAGTGATAATGTTATATCTGTAGAGATGGGGAATGAATTAATCAAAATGTCTTCTAGTGATAATGTTATATCTGTAGAGAAATGGTATGAGTTAATGAAGTAATCAAGACGTGTTCTAGTGATATTGTTATATTTGCAGAGAAGGGGAATGAATTAATCAAAATGTCTTCTAGTGATATTGTTATATCTGTAGAGAAGGGGAATGAATTAATCAATATGTCTTCTAGTGATATTGTTATATCTGTAGAGAAGGGGAATGAATTAATCAGTATGTCTTCTAGTGATATTGTTATATCTGTAGCGATATGGTATGTGTTAATGATGTAATCAAAACGTCTTCTAGTGATAATGTTATATCTTTTGAGAAATGGTATGAGTTAATGAAGTAATCAAGACGTGTTCTAGTGATATTGTTATATTTGCAGAGAAGGGGAATGAATTAATCAATATGTCTTCTAGTGATAATGTTATATTTGCAGAGAAGTGGCATGAATTAATCAAAATGTCTTCTAGTGATATTGTTATATCTGTAGAGAAGGGGAATGAATTAATCAAAATGTCTTCTAGTGATAATGTTATATCTGTAGCGATATATTTCTCACATATGAACACTCCTTGATTAAGTCATTAACTCATATCCATTGGCTCTCTACAATATCAACAAGTAAGAAGACTTTGATACATCATTAACCAACATTACTCATGATCTCTAACAGATATAACAAGATTCACTAGAATTCATTTTGATTAAATTCATTCCCTTTCTCTAAAAGATATATAACAGACTATCACTTAGTAAGACGTTTAGATTACTGATCATTCCCCTTCTCTATCAGATTTTATAAAAACAGGTGTAATCACTAGAGAAATCATTCTTGATTAATTCATTCCCTCTTTCTTTTTCGTACAGATTATAACATATACCACCTAGAAAGCATTTTGATTAATTCACTTCCCATTCTCATATTCGGAAAGATATAACAAAACTAGAAGATCAGTATTGATTTAATCATTCCTCTCTACAGATTAAGATATCATAGAAAGATCATTGATTAATTTCATTCCCTCTCTACAGATATAACAAATATCACTGAGAACATTTACTGATTTTAATTCCATTCCCTTCTCTACAGAGTTATAAAACAAATATCACTAGAAGAATCTTGAATTAAAATTCATCCCTTCTCTGCCAATCGATAACAATAATCAATAGAACTGTCCTGATTACATTCAGTTATCACAGTACTCATTTTCTCTAGCAGACTTATGAGACATTAAGTACACAGAGAAGACATTTTGATTATTCATAATCCCCGTCTTCGT